ACTACTCCGGAGGTTCCATCAGAGTACTTGGGGTCGAAGACAAGATCACGAACCTTTGAGCAAAAGCTCGAGGCTCTTTCGCTAACCTTCGCCACCTATGACGCCGGTGCGACATCACTCCCCAACTGAAGAGTAAAGTGTAGAATGCAGCGGGACCTTCGACCCCACTGTACGGTTGGAAAACCTGACCCGTTACATCAGCCGATATAAAGAGGCTAGTTAGGCTCTATCACCGGTGCTTTCGCAGTTTGGCTCACATCTAGTGGGAATCCCGCGTGAGCCACGAGCGTGTTCGACGCCTTGTTTACGGCACAGAAAAAGGAGATGAACAGCTCAGCACTGTTATTTCACGCAACAGGCTCAGATGGCTAGGGTACGTGTCATGCATCTCAGCCCATTGACCTCAGCGAAATGCGCTGTTTGCGCGCCGGGATGTGAATGGAACATGTGAAGAGCTGATCAGGCGGTGACTTGGTCGACAGCAAGTATGGCCTCCAATTCGTAGCTGGCCTCAGTTAAAGTGTCTCGGTTCCCTGATTGGGGTCTGAAAGACGATGAACACGTCTGGCTGGATACACTTGCTGAAATCGCTAGAGTCGACCTCAATGGCATACCTGCTGTGAGTTTCACTGTCGCTCCCGATCCCTATTAGCCTGCCCTCTCAACCATTATCCCACTTCTTAACATAATTGTTTATAATTAGTTTTTGCTACATATTAGCTGGCTGGTAGCTTTCCGGAAAAATGCCAATCCGTTACTAGGAGCTCAGCTGGCATGCATCCGTTGCATGATATTTTCCTTTACGCATTGCGACACAGTAGCAGGTGTTTTTCACTTCCATCTAACGTGTATACTGATGATGATAACACATCAGCATGTACGATAAGTGTCATTGGTCTCGGGGGTCCGATAAGTTATTATGCAATGTGACTGTGGTAGATTCAAGGCCATCTGAACACACAACAGTTAGGGCACTATAGTTGGATCCCGTTTTTAGTTGATCTACAAGGTAGGGTAATCGTTTGTCCTGACCTGCTGACAAGTGTTGATTCTTTACTGTTTGTATCTCTGTTCGCATTAACGGTGTTTACAACAGTGGAGACCGCAACGGCGGCCTCCCGGCTGACCTGTACAGGAACCGCTACATGTTACTGATTACCGGCGGGCTTTGTCTTGACTAGAGACACTTGAGCCATAGGTACAGAGGGTTGGTGTTCGGCCACTTCATCCTTTTTAATGATAGATGTCAGTTCTAGTGGATTTTGCTTAACCAGACGTTTCGGGTGGCACCTGATTTTCGTAGCTACGGTCAGTTTTCCACTGGTGTTCTGCCAAAATTGGAGAAAACAACGGAGATAGGTATGTAGGTGATTGCGGTTCAGAGGAAGCAGACTGTACAGCATTTCGCTGCTTAGAGACCACTATGCTTCCCTGGTGCATACTCATTTCCAATGAAGTAGTCTTATCGTTCGTCCGCTGCTCGGCTTCTGCAAGTAACCGGTCGCACTTCTAGACTAAGATAAGCATGCATTTAACGAGTGCGATGGTCAAGCACACATTACAGAACCAAGGGACATCGTGTGAGCTATTTAGTTCTCGGACCTGTTGTTGGGACAAAGTTGCACCGCAAATCTTCATGCTAATGTTTCCTCGTGGTGATAAACGGTTTAGTAGAAAAACTGGTGGTATGATACGCTAGGTGAGTTATCCATAGCCAGTTGTGGAAGATAATGATTCCATTGTAGTAATCATGTTGATAATAACAATAATAATAATAAAGATATATTTCGCACCAACTGAGATGATGCGTCCATATTTGGCACAGATCATATATGTATAGACAATAGTTCGCTCTTTCATGGATAATACAAACCTGTGGTGAATACAAATAATAGTATATTCCTCGAGATACAACGCAACTGGCTTTTATGGTCATTATACGCAGCGTAATCGCATGGTAGATATACTTTTCATATTTCCTAAAGTAGTCCTTAAACCACTAACTCTTGTCCCATGCAAAACTTCCAAAGGATGAAAAACCTCACAAAGGTTGTAACCGAAATAATTAAAAGAGTGCTCAATTTATACCCACCATGTATTGTTAAACAGAGTAAGAAAGCAGATTAAGGGAGTAAAGTGTGGAACATGTACCACACTGAAGCGTTTGGGTGAAAAGTGTACCTTGAACTCCCTTTCACAGTGGTTAAAACTAGTCGCATAACAACACTGCAAAGTTATACGATCAGTGTATACAATGGGATGCACATCCACCTCTACATCCAGGTGTGAATTAACTGATAGAATAGTTACAGTAGCGATAGCAGGAAGAGTGCTTAAGTGTAAGCTTTTCCTCTTCACCGGTGTATGTGCGGTCTAAAAATTACGAAATGATTTGGAATATTGGTAGCTCGGGAGGCTTGCTCAGTTGTTGTGGAGTTTTCCGAGCTGGGCATCTTGGTTACAAACGTTTCGCCACCATTCGAGGTGGCATCTTCAGTGCGGGATTGATAGCAGTAAACGAGCAGTAGCTGGTAGAAAGCAAACCCAAGAATGAATCAATTATTGGATCCATTCTTGGGTTTGCTTTCTACCAGCTACTGCTACCTTACTGCTATCAATCCCGCACTGAAGATGCCACCTCGAATGGTGGCGAAACGTTTGTAACCAAGATGCCCAGCTCGGAGAACTCCACAACAACTGAATTACTTACGAGTTATGATAACATTCAAAGACTGCTTTTGTAAAGCCAATCGCCGTGCAAATTGATCTACTTTATTCTCTAGTGCAACACTGTAGAGAAGTATGTACGTTAATCTGAGACTACATGGTCTGGTAGCATTTAAGGTGCTCATAGAGGCACGTTCTTAGCTTAGCGCGATCCCTACGAATGCGCGACACAAGAAACGGAACATACATTATCGATTCCCTACAGTCGGTGATCAGGGCGGTATCGTTCAATGTTTACTTACTCTCGCATCACCGATGTCACGCATTAATATCCTCGGTATTTTACTCAGGGAAACAACTCAGACAAAAAACACGTTCAATCGCATAAGCAAGCATAAGAGATGAAAGGGAATCAATGAGTGAACGTATAGGATGAATTATAAACACCATCCAGTGAGGATCTGCAATGCAGATAAAATCTTAGATGAAACATTGCTCAACTATTATAACATTATGTCTCAATTATACCAAGTGACCACATGTACGTATCTCAAGTTTCCTGGTTGTCCTCATGTTATTAGTTCGCCTTAATTCCGGACGGCTTAGCAACTAATCCTTCATATAACGGTTAGGTGGATTCACCTGCATTTCGGGAAGTAATAAATACTAGTTAACTTTATCCGATTAGGGAAATAATTGTTAGAGAAAGGAGTGAAAGTTCGATCGCAACTAACCTTAAGATATTGTTGTATCTCATATTGTCTGATTCTGTCTGATTCTGTATATCCCATCCACAGCAAAAACCTCGAACATGTCTAGCCTTTCGGTGGCATTCTTCGCCTTACTTAATCAAATTTTCCACTGACAAGCTCCAATGTTTCACTCCATGTGATGTAATACCGCTGCAAAGATGCAATGCTGAGGCAGCTGGTTCGTAAGTTTGGGGAAGACATGGTGTAGTCGTAGTAAGAGGATCACGTTTTGCACATGTTCGACTGCCTAGTCGGAGGGTTAGTTTTCCGGACCTCAAGAGGTAACTTCAATACTATTCATTCCGTTTCTTACCGTACATGGGAAATAGTACTCAGGTATCAGGGTAAATATATGGTTACTCTTAATATTCTCAGGTCAAAGTGATCAGGAACGTAATAATAAAGGCGTCGTGGGGTTGAGAACTACCCTCTATACAGTAACGTAATATCTTATCCCATTTGTTAGTCAGTGGAGCCCGAAAAATCATACGTTCCCATAAAAATGCCTCAGTGATGCGATTGTCAGTTACAGCTAGTGGGAGTGGCTGGTAGTGCGTATTAGTCCAGTCAATGTAACAGCAACTGGCCCTTTAAATGTGTGAAATATACGTGAGAGAGCACAACGCCCGAATCATCTTGCACAGTAGCGCCTGAATGGCAAGTGTATGCGACTAACTACCTGAGTACGACAGTCAGTTGACAAGCAAAGCCGACGCTCCAGAAGTGAGAGGATGCAGGACAGAAGCATTTAAGGGCATTTCGAAGAAGAAATAGAGCAGCTCTTATACAATACATCTAGTGTGTGGAACGCGGGAGAAATTCTCCATAAGACTTTTAATCGGTTTTTGGAGTTGTGGTCTAATGAATTTAGTGTAGAAGGGAACTTCTCGCACAGTCTTTATGGTAAATTATCATCACAGATAGACGTGATCGATATAATTAAAATTAGTCTAGGAAAATCGATTGCTTCCGCATCCTAGAAGATTGGGTATTATTATGCGTATAGTAATATTGTTGGAATCAAGGTGGCATGTTCCGGAATACCTCAAAGCGCCGGTTACATTAACATTTTTGCTTTCTTGATGAACATGCACCGTTCCAAATGGTGTTGCCCAGACAACCGGTCTTAAAGCAGCCGTTTCAAGCAAGTGAAGTGGAGTTTAAAATAAAGTGATGTTGACCAGCACCTGCGGTGGAAAAGATTATTTATTTGTCTCGCCAAATGACCAGACAAAAATGCGGAACCCCAAGGAACACTATGACTATGCGAATAAAATGAAGGGAACACTGACTTTTGACTGACTTTGTGAGAAACCAAGCGCATGGATACATTACACTCTGATGTATGGATAACAGCTGACCTAAAGGACCGAGCCAAAGTGAAAGTGGTATTTGGTAGACTCGCAATCCGGATAGTAAAGCAAATTCGAAACTACTGTAGGCTTGGAATGGTTGAAAGAATCTATTTTTCGATCCAATAGAATTTTACTCAATAGAACCTGATGGTTATGAAGGAGATTATCGATTTAATTGACAACGTCCTTTTACTGCGAAGAAGAATTCCACGATGGCGTCACTTACTTGTACCGCAATACAGTAGTACGTATCCGCATCCAACCCGATAATCACTCCTTTGGTGACCTCTCCATGTACTGTCTGTCGTTGACCCAACTGATATTGCACCTTATCAGACCTCTCCGAACGACAGTCCGAAACGCGAGGCCAGTACAAAATATGATACCCACCGACAGGACCTTCGCCCTCCGACGGAAGCGGCTGTGTCCACCATACGGTGATCGCCGACGAATTCAGTGCCCCTGCAGTAACTCCTCCTGGGGCATTGGTTGGGACCCGAGCAGCGGACATTATCGTCACAGGATCCGTGATTGGGCCCACTCCCTGTAACGGAACGTACAGCGGAAAGACGATCAAGCCTCCAAGTAAGTGAAATGTTTCTTACTCAAAAAGGATAGAAAGAAAATGATTACCCAGGAACCTTACCATTAAGCCCTATTGAGAACCATAGTGATACTATCAGGTACGCTAATTAGTTATTAATACTACTAGTATTGGTACTGCTGAGAAAGTAGTACAAAGTTTTAAATTCAGCTAATTCATCATTGCCACTCTCAATCAGCAGGCTTAGGCTAGTCTGGAAAAGCACCAGACAACGACGTTTTGACCTTCTGAGTCTCGTCAGTGGAGTGCCTCCCATCAATCATAACAAAATCCACACCATTGAACAGTAATATATAAAACATTTGTCCGCATAGCTTTCAAGCCCTCGTGCCGTGCCGGGACCCTATACAGAAATTCCTAGATCGTGAGGCTAGCCACGGTCCTCTGCACAATTCGTAACTGGCATGGCAGTGGAAGATGAGCTGGGCTATATCACAGTCATCTGGAAATCGTGCAGGCCCGCGGCTGTCACCCATGACGAAGTGGCACTAGCTGCTGGCATCCAGAAGTCATGCGGTCCGAACCCGGCAGGGTCCACTGGGAGGCGCACCACTGACGGGACCCAAAAGGTCAAAACGTCGGTGTCTGGTGCTTTTCCAGACAAGTCTAAACCTGCTGATTGAGAGTGGCGATGATGAATTAGCTGAATTGCACCAAAATTCTCACTACGCACCAGTACTATCCCAAGTTTTGAGGTTTGTCAAGATGAGTGATCACAACGGGAATTATTTAGACAGTCATCATCCCTTACAGAAAACGATGATAAGCCGTTAGTTTTTACAGCGGATAATTGGCAACAAGCAATCCGCCAAAACCTATATCCGTGCTACCTAAGCTCTGAGGAACCTTAGTGGAGGTTGTGATAATACCAGCTTAAAAATGTATGGTACATAGGAATTCGTTCACTAGATGTATAGAGGACTATTATGATGAGCGCAGGGTCGGAAGCCAGTACTAAGAATTCTTTTACAAAAAAACTAGCATCCTTTTAAACATTGTATTTCAACTCAAATGTTTATTAATCCACTAATCACACACTGATCCGCACACAGTCCGCTTTACAATGATGACACTGTATCACAAACGAGCAAAGCAACCGTTTTTTCGTATGTATGGTAGCAATGAGTTAGAGCATAGTAGCAAGGAGATTACTCAGCTGCTACTTTTTAACAGTGTAAATATCATAATATATTGAAAGAAAAGATTAAAACACAAAAAATGATCCTAAAGTTAGAAGGTAGACCAACTGCTTTGGCAACATTACCCTCTACATTCCAATTCAGAAATCCCGTTGAAACGTAGGCGAAGTGTACACTTAGATTTCCGTAACTACACCAGTTTCGGTGAGTTTAAGGTTATAAGTAACCTTCAATAGGGAGACAGCTGAAGTAAACCATTAACTTGTTTGTATCACTGATGCTGCGTATCGGACAAGTATTGTAAAAGACAAATCCTTGCTTTCATCCAGGCGCTGCCACCAAAGTCGTGATAACAACAGCCTCTAAAGAAAAGCGCTGATTTGAATAAAGGTCGCAGAGCAAAAGCTTGATGTCTTCTTTTGGTCATGATGAGGATGATACCTTAAGTTGAGTAAGATATATTTCTTATAATTGCGTTTATTCAGGACCAGAATGCATCTACCTAGCATAAGACGTAGTTAGAATGCAGCACAAATGCTAAAAAGATTTAATTTCGCGGCTTCTTGTTAATTCTTCTGTCTTTTTCTGCAACTGGATTCAAAACTGCACGGTGTACAAGTCCCTATCTAATTTATTACGATACATTGTCCATGCGCATAAGTCCGGTACATACTAGTGTAACGCGGTGCAAATGCACACCGCATGTTGTTTGAATAGACTGTGATATGTCGGTTAAGGCATTGGACTCTAAGCACTCTGAATGTCATCTTTGTCGTTACGATAATTGAAAAGGAACCATACCAAAGCGTTCAGAGAAAAATCGAAATTGATGTGAGTTCCATCTGCCCTTAATCGAAATGCCTAGAAATAATCCAGCATGAAGACAGCGTTAAAGGGGACCAAGATTTCGGCAAAACCAGGTGTTCAGAGAAGCGACCGGCGTGTTACATACCGGAGGCCTATTATTTCAATGCCTGCAATACCGTGCTCTCGTGCTGATTGTTGACGAGCTGACATGCGACAAACCGTTCGCATGTGTGCCAGAAGTAATGTCTCGGCAGGCCGTCAAATGCTACAGAATGGCACATGGAACTAGAGATAGGTTTCATTTGAATTCCAGCTCGGTAAAACTCACCACTCTGTTCACAGCTTGTAAACGAACGTCGTACGGCTTGTAGTACAAATTGTCCCCAATTGTCAGTGTATACTGCAAATAAGTTCCACCTTCAATCGGCTTCGCGGTGTACAAATCGTATGTACCGTACTCATTGTTACCTTTGGCTCTCACATGGGCGCGGTACCGGAAATCCGGACCATTCTGATCCACTTTACTTAATGGAACCCACTGGAATCGAAGGGTTCCATGTTTCCCGCCACCTCCGGTCAAATTGGTCGGCATCTTGGTGGGCGCAGTAGGCAGTGTTGTGAAAAACAGACTTGGCGGGCTCGGAGTTCCTACGCCAAGAGCGTTGATTGCACGAATACGCAGTCGATATAGAACATTGGCCGCCAGATTTTGCACGAACGTGCTTCGTCTTCCTACAATGATAGCAAGATCAGATACACCGTGGATGGACAGCGGAACACCAGGTGGACGTTTACTTACCAGACGCGGGCAGTTCATAGGTATCACTGATACTCAAGTTTGACACAATCACCGTCCACCTGTCCGATGGCTCAAGCAAAGTGTTCGCCTCGATCACGAAAGCAGTGACGCGGAAGAGATGTGTGCTTCCGACGGTCCAGGAAACATTGACCTGCCCTGTTTCCAAAGGTGGATCCACGATAACTCCTACCATAGAGACAAGCGGGAAAATAAAATTAGGTGATGAGCTGACAAATTATGACATACTCGCAGTTGGCGGCGAAACCTAACTGGAGAAAAGTCGGCGAACTAGTATACCATCCTTGCTACTTAGAGGTGGTGTTTTTGGCCTTAACACCTCCGTTCCGTTGAGCGCCGCTGTCCCATAAGATATCAAGCAGCAGGATATTGGAAAGGTGATATACTCACCGTAAAAGTAAAATAGCCTTAGGAGAGAATTATGGGGCATATCGCTTGCTATCAGCAAACGAAGATCAAGTGCAGAGTTTAGACCATTACCTATGAAGAATATGAACAAAATAAATCCCCTACTGCTCACAAATAATCAGTAAGCGCCTTATTAGATTATATACCACCTCAATTGATGGTGGCTTTCAAAGGAAGTCGTTGCTCTGCTGGTCAGCCTAGTGCTCTGCAAGTTCATGACCTGCATGATAGTGGAGGATGAGCAGCGCTACATCCCAGATAGACATCAGTCATGGTGGTTCGCTGCCGTCACCCATGGCTCAGGGGCATAAGTTTCTGGCAGGTAGGAGTAAGATAGTTGGTTCGAATCCGGCAGGATTCGACGGGTGAGCACTAATGAAGTATCCCAATAGGTCGAAACGTCCACCTAGAGCTTACCTGGATGTGTGATGGCTGTTCACTTGAGTCTAGATACGGCGGATCTTCACCAAAAACAAAATAAATCCTCCAACTGCTTACGAATAACCACTAGTAATCCTCAAAGATGAGACAACTTTGTGCGAGCTATCTAGTTGTCTCATGACATTGTAAATATCGGCTAAGTCATCATCAAGGATGAGTGTTATGGAGCGAATCGCTTTTAAGTTCCTTTTGTCTATTTTGATACCTTCATGTATGTCAAATGCATCGCTTTTAACTGTGTTTTGGCTCTACACACTAGAGCTGTTTGCTAACCCGATTGTATGGTGATGAATTTCTGACGTCACCCATACCGCGACACTAGTACTAGAGAAAGTTTTGGTCATTTGAGCTTTTTGCTCAGTCTAACCCCTAGTTGGAATCTTCAGGTCCATATTGTCGGCCTGAGCATCCCAGTCCACTAAACAGGCCTGTATCGAAGTAGAACGCTGAGAGTAACAATGAAAATTTCTGTTGCACGTGGTGGTATCGCAACCGCCAGCGGATAGGTGAATCGGTTGACGTAATATGTGATCGCCAAACGAACTTTGACATACCGAGAAAGGTATCGTATCCATTGTACTCTGATACATTGTGGATTACGAATGGGCAATAAACCTCTGGTAGTTTGCTAGGCCACGCAAAGCAACATTTGGAAAGTTTAAAATATTCTGCATTGTTGTTGTATTGTTGTATTTCGCAGACCTTGATGTAACACAGCCGTAGGCGTGCGTACAAAATGCGGCTTAATAAAAGCTTGAGATACCTGCCTATAGCGACGAAGAAATTCGGTAAACGTGTACAAATTTAAACCAATAACACATTACGAGTTGATAGAGGGGAAAAGTGTTGACCCGATATGTTAGGAAAAGAAAGTACCCATGCTTCGGGGGAATTCTCAGTACAGCTGATTACGCGTCGCCATAGTCTTAGGAACCAAATGATGTACCAGTTGTTTGACTGAATAGAAATGGTTGCATATCGATAAGATGAATAAAGAGGTAAGGGATAACATTTGAACATGTCAACATTTCGTATTGCCTCTTCAGTGCCAACAAGACGACAGGTAGGGTCAGACCGGAACCACTTAGAACAGGGTGGAGGGTAGGCGTGCCACCCCAATGCCCAGAGCAGCATGGGGCTTACGAACAGCTATTTCTGCACAAAGAGTGCGGGTTTGATATGGCTAATCGCGACTGCCTCCGCAAAACGTAGGAAACAGGCATTAACATGGCTTAACACGAATGTAAACCTCTTGGCTAGTAAATGCCTAGCTATAGATGAAACAGGTGGCCTACGTGAACAGATGGTATGTGCAACCGACGACTGGGTGACGTAACGTTGCAACTATTTAGGTACATATTTCCTTAGTCTGGAGTTCAATGCTGTGTTGGTACGGCCGATGCAATGTGTACCACGAATACAGTTATATTACTGGATACAATGTGAGTTGGCGCCAATTGTTTGTCTTTCCGCCATTGGGGTAACAGGTATTCGATTAATCCGGTTGATAAGAACAGTTTCAGTGGCATAACTGAGGAGATTATGCATTTCGTTGTCCTCATATTAACAAACTCACCATTAAATGGGAGCTCCATATAGACCTTCATTTTAGCAACTGTTGGCACCTTCTATCCCGGAACCCTCACCTGACTATGTTTGTCGATGAATCTTTTTGAATAGTCATCTTTCAACAGCGAATCCTTGAGCGAGTTTATCTCATCATCATAGATCCATAAAACGATTGTGAGTGTCGTAAAGAGAGACATGATGGCCATAATGTCGGCTGTTGATTGAAAATGCCTCTTCAATGAACCACACGTTAATCGGATTCGTGGCTATATATCAGACTTGTACCAGAATCTAAATAGTGATCACTGCGCAGCGTACACCGTACTACTAACTGCCCCTGACAAGAACTGTTACGAGGGCAAAGCAATAAGTCGCCGGAGACGCAGTACACATATTAGGCGCAGATGACCTGGCATGAAAAATGTGACTATAGCAATGAAGACTGGTAGTTCAGGTTGTTCAGCTGGCTGTTGAACTGTTCGCTGAGCTTGGCAATTTTGTTGCAAACGTTTCGGCACCAATCGAGGTGATATCATCACCTCTCTCACCGAGGCTCGTATACGCTACTCTACCCTACTTCACGCCACTCAACTACGCACTGATGATATCACCCCGATTGGTGACGAAACGTTAGCAACAAAATTGCCAAGCTCAGCGAACAGTTCAACAGCCATCATGAAAAATGTGAACTGCAATCCATTCCTGAACATTGTTCAGTGAGCTCAACCCATAGAACCCTATTTCAGCAGCACAGCACAGCTCATAAGTCGCTATATTATGACTATAAGTATGGAAGTCAATCGATGTCACAAGAAGGCGATGAGATTGTATGATTACAAATGTGATTTAAACGGCACCAGTGTTGAGCGATTGTGTGTTGCATTTGGTGATGATGCGCCTTTAAAAACCACCGTGTTTGAGTGTTTACTGAATTCAAGCGTGATAGGCGACCCCTGGATGATGATGCATGGCGTGGTCGAACTATGAAGGCCACCACGCGCACAACCTTGCTGCTGTGTAACCGATGCTGGAGGATGACAAGCGGGTGGTTGTGGCACAGCTACGGAAAAGCATCGGGATCATTCCGTACCATCCTACGTGAAAAGCTCGGCTTCAGAAAGGTTTGTGCACACTGAGTACCTCATCAGCTCAGTGAGCAACAGAAAGCAGCTCGGGTGAATTGTTACCGCACAATGCTTGCCAGATTTGATGGTGGACGTTCCAATGCTGGTTGGGATATCCTCAGCAGTGATGAGAAATGAGTGTAGAGTTTCGACTGAGAGACGTTGGGGCAGCGCCTCCTCTGAAATTACGGCGTGATCGCAGTGTGGCCAACCAGATGGTGCTACGTTCGTAACCAAGACCAGTAATGTGGCTACGATCCCGCTCGTACGCAATGCACAGCCACAAGTGCTGGAAACTGTAGCTAGGCGTCGCTCAAGGACCCCGAGCCCGTGGGCTTTTGCTGTACCATGACAACCCATCTGAACACAGATCCTAGGTTGTCGTAGATTTTATGGCTAGAGAAGGCATCCAGAAGGTTGGCCACCCATCCTACAGTCCAGACCTGGCTCACTGTGACATTCTGTGTTCCAAAATGGCAAGCGCATGATGCGTGGAATCCGCCCCTAGTCTTCAGGACTTGCATTAGAGGCTTTTACAGTGTTGCTTGAAGGGTTATCCGCTTCGGCAAAGTCTAGCTGCTTCTCCAAATAGTTCGAATGCATGAAGCTGTACCTGAACGCTGGTGAAGAGTACTACAAGCAAATGTAATGCTTATTTACTTATAAAAAATGCAAGACTTTGTGCATCCGAAAAAGTAATGTTTAAACCTCGCAGAGATATCTCAAGCAATGGATAGCATGTGTATACAAAAGCAAAGAATGCTTTTCAGTAACTCGTCAAACTCAGACTTTATATGCTACGTGAGCTGAACAGGGCTGTGTATTAAGTAAAAAGTTGAATTCTAACGGAAATTGATCGATAAATCACGCATGTAATCGTCATTCTGTAAAGTGTGAGTATGAAAAGCATTACAGAAATGTTTGTCGGTTCACTGTTATCAGAATACTCCGGTGTCAGGATGAGTTGCGGTAAAAGTTCTGATTGTTTAGCCTTTGGTCTACTCGGTGTGCTTCTTGTTCCGTCAATTCGACGTGCGTTACACAAACAACACGAGGAAGAGCTTCAGGCAAGTTGAGCATTTTTGTAGATATCATGCCACGCCGTAATGAGAAACGACAGAATGAGACCAGTTTGCGACTTTTTGATCCAACAGGTTGACCTAATTTGTATGCATTTCGAATAACGTATCTGCTTATCATATATCAGTAAACTTGTCGAATTGATTACTACTAAGAGAAGAAACAGCAATTATCGTCTATGTTCACTGCAACTCACCTCCGCAAGGTCCAGGAGGGCCAGCGACTCGGATTAGACCATAGGATGACAATGATCCCAAGGGGGTTTGTGGTACGCAAGAGTATCGGCCTGCGTTCTCAAACTGTATATTACTCACACGCAAAGTTCCAAAGTAACGCGTGTAAGGCCTGTTAAACTGAGTCACCTCGTAGCGACGTGCGTCCAAATCCAACCGATCAAATTTGATCTGCACACCCTGAAATACAGGCAAGAGAAGAAGTGGACACTGCACAAGACAATGCTCACAGGAGAAACATTTGCACCAACTATTCAGATAGATAAATACTGGTTAGCGAGAGCGAAGTTGAGGGAAAATATGTAAAGTTCGCCAACGCAGGTGACGCTAAACATAAAAACCTATGAGGGCAATAAATTTACTGGGGTAAGGAAGTGAGGAAACTCAAAAAATGGAGTTGATAAATGGAATGATATATCATTAACAGACGTCGCGGATTTTTGGATCAGAGTGTGGTGGATGCCACTTTTGCCTCAGATTACTGTCTTATCAGCGTTTTATCTGTGTTAGTTGTGCACCAATATTCTTCCTTTGGCGTATTTTCCAAGCGGTGCAAATTTGGCGACTATTCTTTGGCTACTTCCGGAGATCTCATTGATTTGCTCTACTGCCACCTCTGTCCGCCATCTTGGATCTGCTCTAGCTTGTGATGCCGTCTCAATCTACCTGTGGTTCGTGATCGAAAGTTGTGGGAAATAAGGCTCATGCACTTCGATTCTTCGGCTGTGATGTTTTGTTCCATATCTTGTGAACTGGCTTATGCATTGACGTGTTTCGAAAATCGCTCGACATCCGACATCGGTTTTTTCAAGTTATATGTGATAAATGTCGCGGTACAAGACATCAGAATACGCAGCGACCGCAAACAACTACGCGAAAATTTTTCGTTCAGATAGAAACAAACCGTTCACCACGTGGGATCAAACGCCCTCGTGAAAGTACCTCTGTCACCTCGCCTTCTACTGTCACTCCGCGATCTGCACCACCACCAGCGTCTTCGACCCCGGGCGAGCCCCAGGTTCAATGTTCCCCAACGATGGAAGACTCGGACTCGGAAGCTACGAAATGCCGCTTCACTGATCGGTCTTCGAATTTCTCAGAGGCTTTCTGTGAACTTCTGAACACCGAGGATCCATGGACCACTCAAAAGCGCAAGGGCCAACGTAATCGAGTTCAGACGTCACCTGCTGATAAACAGCAACCTAATCAGTTAAGCGCCTCTAGTTCTGCTCAACGGGTCCAAAGCTGGTTTCGATGAGGCGTCATAATCTCATGGTCTTCCACGTACCAGAGTCAAAAGATTAAAACCCTCAGATACGTTATGATCACGATGTTGAGTTCCTCCAGGGGCTCATCGATAGACTCTTGGATGTGAGTGAAGACAGTATGACGATTAAACAAATAATCCGACTTGGCCAGAAAACTAACCAGTCATGTCGACCTCTGAGAATCATCTTTGCAAATCCCAATATGCCGCAGCTCATACTGTCTCGTCTGTCAAGGCTGAAAGTTCACATCCGCCGAGAGTTGGAACCCGAAGACAGGGATCGTTTGAAGATTGCGGTCATTGAGCTCAAACGCCGTACAGAGGAAGGAGAGACTGACTTACAAATTGTAAATTTTCGAGTGATCAAGAAGGGTGTACGAACCCGTATCAACCGGTTGCTCAACCTCCAGACACGTCCCGCAGTACCTCTCAGGACCTCAGTGTGGCATTCGCCAACGTGTGCAGCCTAATGAACAAAGGTGACGAACTGTGCCGCTTCGTTGTCTCGAAGCGGCCAGACGTTTTAGGACTCGCAAAGACTTGGCTGAACTCCGACATCATACCCCAAGAAGTCGTGTTGTCAGGATACTCTTGTTTCCGATGCGACCGAAAATCAAAGGCTCACGGTGGTGTTCTGCTGTACATAAAATCCTCACTATCTGGCAAATTTACCAGCACCTATCGGAGCGAGGATAGTTTATGCGAGCAATTGTGGTGCACAATCCGCCTCAGGCGCGCAGAACGCATGGTGGGGGTTATCTACCGGAGCCCATTAAACCGTTGTTGCGATTGGATAACACATGTACAGAAGCACATGAGCCGCCCTAAGTTCTTACTGATGGGGGATGTAAATTTACCTAAGATATTTTGGCAAGAGGTTCGACTTCTTCCCGGTCATTGCAACGTTGAGGCTCAAGTCGCTAAAATGATTATTGAAATCGGGGCAACGCAACATGTCATCCAACCGACGCGCGTAACCCCTTACTCGGCATCTTGTCTGGACCTAATGTTTACGAGCTGCGAGCAGAAGCTGAAGGAGATCGGAGTCATCGAACCTCTGGCGAACAATGACCACTGCTCCATTGTGGCAAGCTTAGAACTGTCGTTACCATATTACAATCAACGGAAGCCGGCATTCAACTATTGGAAGACGGACTTCAACGGGCTCGTCCAAGCTCTAAGTCAGACTGATTGGACACTACCACAGTATGCGTCACTTGAGGCCTGTTGGTCATTAATGAAGGGGAAGCTTAGCTCGCTCTGTACTCGGTTCGTTCCCCTTAAGTATTCAAAAATTGGACCTGTCAAACCGCATTGGTTTGATAGGGAATACAGACAGTTGGCACGACGACGTCGTAAACTTTGGGCTAGATACATCAGCTCGGGTTGTGATGAAGATTACGCGGTGTACAAGAAACTGCGTAACTTATGTAACGCCGCAAAGATCAAGAAACGCCGGCAGTTCAAAGAGCAGCTAGCATCCTCGGCCACAACTGCACCCAAAAGAATATTTGCCTACTTGAAACGTCAACTGAAACCTGGGGGCGACCTACCGGTCTTAGAGAGCTTAGAGCGGAAGACGCTCATTTCAATCGCGGAGCGCGCGGAAGCCTTGGCTACGCACTTCCTCACTGCATTTTCCAGTAAACCGGCGGCGGTTTCAGTACTGGCACAGGTTGCGCCAGTCGTGCTCAACAGCCTACAATGTGATGCAGTCGAAGTGTACCAGCTACTCGTCAACCTCGATGGTGCAAAGCCCCCCGGACCAGACGGACTTCACCCACTAATACTCAAGTCCCTATCGATTATCATCTCACCAGCCGTGACAAACCTTTTCAATAAATCGCTCTCTGAAGGATCTGTCCCGAACGATTGGAAATGCTCGATAGTGAGACCGCTTGCCAAGAGTGGTGATCGGAGTGAACTAGAGAACTATAGACCGATCTGTTTGACTTCGGTATTATCCAAAGTGCTTGAGAAGGTTGTGAAAAAGTGTCTGCTATCGTTCTTCGAATCGATGGACGTATTGACGCCAGCGCAACACGGCTTTACGAAAGGGCGATCCTGCATCATCAACTTGATGTACGCAAACCACCAGTGGGTACGAGCTCTCAACGAACGGAAGGATGTTTACGTGGTATACATGGACTTTAGTAAAGCATTTGACAGAGTGAACCATGAGATACTCCTTGGTAAACTGAGGGCATACGGAATCGGTTGCACGTTTCTTCAGTGGTTACACGAGTTTATTGTGGGACGAAAGTTTAGAGTACAGGTCAATGACTACCTGACAGACTGGTTCCCATCGACTAGTGACGTGCCTCAAGGAACTGTACTTGGGCCAGTATTATTTCTTATTCATATAAACGATCTGCCGCAGCAGATCCAGTCACCATGTGCCCTGTTTGCAGATGATTTGAAAATCTGGAGGATCATTGAGAACCAGGAGGACTGCGTTCGCCTCCAGCATGACTTAGAGCGAATGTCAACGTGGTCTACTGAAATGCAACTCCCTCTTAACGCGAGTAAGTCGGAGTTCATCAGTATCACCAGACGTCCAGCCACTCGATCATATATCTTGGACGGCCAGTTGCTCCATCCCAACACATCTGTCAGAGACTTAGTTCTCTCACGACATGATATGTGATCACAGAGAAATTGTACCGTGCGGGACTTCGTATACTCTGGGCATTAAGACGCAGTTTCTCCACATAGTCCGAAGAAACCGTCCCTCGTCTATTCACCTCGCTCATTAGACCAATCCTTGAACACGGTGCCCCAGCTTACCATCAGATAACCCAATGGGGAACTGAAAAGCTAGAGAAAATACAGCATATCGCATCTAGAATGATACCGATTCTACAAAAATTTCCGTATGAAAAACGTTGTGAAAGGCTCGGACTCTACAACCTCTCCTGTCGCCGAGTAAGAATTGACCTTATAATGACCCATCGAGTACTACACTTAAATCACTTCCCCATACTGCGGCCAATATTTCACCTGCGAGAACCCTGTAACACCCGAGGACACCGGTACAAACGCAGGGTCCCCAACATGAACAAAGTATCATATCAGCTTTGTATCGAACAAAGAATCGTAAACCCATGAAATACACTACCCGAAGGATTAATAGAGGCCAAATCTGTGAAGTGTTTTAAAACCCGTATCGACGATTATTTCGGAAAACTATGCTTTTGTGAAACGATGCACATATAGTGCCAAAAGAAGACACTGTATGCCCGGAAATAAGGACACCAGTACAAATTCCTAACCGAAAAAAGGATAAACGATAAACGAACCAGACATATCTTCTGCTGATTCACAACTAAATGTATTTGATCTTCCGTAATTCGATAGAGTTGTACAGAAACTTTCTACATGATCTTAAATACAGTCTCAGTCTATAATAAAATGATCCGCAGCTGAATAAAGCTGAAGATAGATGGTTGAATAACATGACATATTTGTCCTTAACCCATACAATTTCCCAGACAGTTTAAGCCATAAGGCACTCAACTTCAGCCGGAAGGATTTCAACTTCATCTAATACTCTTACAAATTCTCCCGTCCTTCGTCGGTGGCTGCTTTTGCGCTCGCTGTCGCTCAGCTGTCTTATTGGTTATGCGCCGTCAGCCAATAAGAGAACAGATTTAGGCATAGAGGAAAATCGAATCACGGAGGAGGCGAAGGGTGCCGACCGCAAATGCTCGAGAGCAATTCATCCCCAGGGCGATGACGGATGGCATTACGCGGGTGAGACTAGATAGACATTGGGTCAGCAGATGAGCAGTAGGATGCAGTTGAAACACTGTAGGACAAGGGGTCAGAGCATGCCCCACGGTATCCCTTTAACAAATCCTGCTGGTGAAAAAAACATATTTGCTTCGCATTCCATCACAGCCGGTATCCAGTG